CATAAACGAAGCTGAAACTCCTAATGTTTACATCAGCTGTCAATAACTGACATAATCGAACCAAAAGAACCAAACAATTGGCCTCAAGCAAAGTGTTATTGAATTACTTTGATGCCACCGGAGTGGTTTCAATGCGTTTGGACGGAATTGAAACTCGTAGGACGAATTTAGAACCAAGAAGCAGTATTAGATTTTAAACAATATCTCATCAATTTGTGACTCTTTATCAAATCCAGCGGTACGTATGGAAAGGAGAATAAATTTAGAAGTCATCATTGACAGAAATATTCCTTTTTCCCGTTCAAAAAAGCGAGGTAAAACATGGGTTGTGCTTGGTAGGACGGAAATTAGATCAAAAGCCCTATTCATTGGCGGTCAAACTGAGTATCGTAAGAACTATATTGGCCACATCCGGACATGTTCCAGATACCCTCGGCAAAGTGGAAAAAATCTGTCTTGAGACAAATCTCATGATGCGATGTGTTGTCTAACATTTCTTACATATTTTTTTTCTAATGGGACTGACCTGCGGTTACTTTTCGCTGTGGGACAATTTGACTTGGTATTGTTTTCCATTTTTCTTGAACATACCACCTTTTTTCAATAGCACATCTTAAACCACATTGAAAGATAAACTGAATAATGATGTTAACTCAAAATTGAAAAAAATGCAGATGGGACTGACTTGCGATTACCGGCAGTTCAGAGATCAGAAAACTTTAGAAAGAATATCACAAACCTTTTTTAAATCCAGCTAACTTCTGAGATGCTCGGCATACTTGATGATAATTCAGAGAACTTCAATAAAAAAACTGTAAACTTCAGAAAAATTCATCAATTTTCAGAGAGGATCAAATAACTTCAGAAAATTTATAGAACTTCAGAGAAAACCTGCTAAATTCATAAAAAAATCGCCAAAGGGGAGATCACCAAACTTGATGAAAATCCTGAAAACTTCAGAGACGACCAGCAAACTTCAGGAAACATATGAGATTTTCAGAGAAGCTAACTGTACCGCAGGAAAGTTCTGAAAATTTCAAAGAAATTCAGCAACCTTCCACAAGACCACGATGCGTCAGGTAAACTGTGGGAACTTTTGAGAAGATAAGCAAGCTTAAGACCATCAGAAAAGATCAGCGAACTTTAGTAAAATTCTAAGGACTTCATAGAAAAGCAGCGAACTTAAGGAAAATTCAGAGAGCTTCAGAAAATATCTGAAAATATTAAAAAAAATCCGGAATCTTCAGAGAATATCATAAACAACAAATTCTTAAAACTTCCTAGAATATTAGCAAAGTTCAGATAAATTCTTAGATTATTCCAAAAGATCAGTAATTTTCAAAAAAAAATCTTAGATCAATAGAAAATATTAATAAACTTCAGGCTGATAACTTCTAAGAAAACAAGCAAACCTCAGGAAAAGTCGAAAAACTTTAAAGTATACAAGAAATAAAATTCTAGGTGTCCCTACTCATCCTGGTGTTCATGCCAGATGATCAATTAGATCAACCATGGCTGGTACAAATAGATTCCATGAACCTGATTGGGCATGCCCAACTGCTATCAATATAGTACGGTCGTAAACGATGCAAATAGATTCTGTGAACCCACTTGAGCCTGATTGATTGCCATACATATCAGCCAAGGTTGATCTGGTTGATCATCTGGATTGAATTAAGGATGATTTGGAGGACCTAGAATATCCAGTGTACACATAAATAGGTTATGAAATTGGCCCAAAACTGTAATTTTCCCATGTTACATATTATTTGAAAACATGCTCAATCTGATTAAGGTGATTAACATTTTATTCGATGGATATACAAATTGTTCGTTTATCGTTTATTCATCAGTATGAATATCAAGCATCTCATTTACTCTAGCTGCAAATTCCACCTCCAAATCTCGGGCCACTTTAATGGGCAAAGCGGGCATACGTTGACCAAGATAATTACAAAATTCCTTGTGGCGGTTTGATTTCTCTTGTTGAATTGTCGTAGCAACGTCTCCAACTATGCCCAAAATCTCGTGCAATTTGGAATCCATTGCGTCAGACTTTCTTTTGCGGTTTGCCGATGTAGTCAATGGTGTAGTGACATCGTCGATGTTCTCAATGTCACCTAGTTCTTCTACCTCGCCGAAGCCCTGGACATTCGAATCGGTTGTTGGTTGCTCGAAATCTCGTCAACGTTCGAATGATGCTGTGCTCGATAGTTGCTGGTGGTGCTGGAATAGTAAATAAGAATGCATTAAGAATGCTTTTAAATATAAATACGAGCATATTCAACTTACCTTCTCCGTTAACATTGGGTTGATAAAAAAGACAGCTCGTGGTACAACTGTTGGTACAACCCAACTAACATTTTCAGCTTTGTAAGCCAAATTTTCCAGCGTTGTACTGTAAAGTAGCTGAAAAGAAGCTGTAGATACAGCTACAAGCAAAAGCTAGCAAAATAGTTTTGGAAAGCGTTTACTCAACTTTCTCACAACCATTATTCAATTTGTCAGTCGCACTGAATAACATCAGTCAATAAACAACCAACCACTGCTGAATAACATAAACATCAAAAGTGCTTTTTCAACAACTAAACAACCTGTACTCAGCTTATAAACTGTGTTAGAGCAACTTCTGAAGCATTTTCATAGTCAACTAGGTTTATTTTTAGACGTGTGCAGTTTCACAGCTTTTACTCTGCTCTTTTACAAAGCTGAAGTAACTAGTCGAGAAAAGTGATTCATGTGCACTATTATAAAGCCTCTACTCAGCGATTTGGTTGTAGAAGGGCATGTATATTTGTTTACATCAGTTCAAAGTGTTGGCGTAGCACAGTTGGTAGTGTCAAGGTTTGCCAATGAGGTCGTCTCGAGTTCAATTCCAGGTTCCGGTGCAGGGTAAATAATTTGGTGATGATTTGTAACTATTTCGATTAATTTGATTCACAGCAAAATAAACTCAATTAATTCCTTCATAAAAAAGCGTAAACAATATTTAACCCGGCTTCAAGAGAAAGCTGTGTAGTGATTATTGGATAACCGGGAAAAGGTTGAATAAGCGCCTTTCAAGTTCACACACAACTAAACAGCAGGATAACAGCTGTATAGAAGCGTTAATGAATATGCAATAAGAGCTTGCCCCAACCCTCCCAACAGCCATAAGTAGCTGACTAAGTTCGCCAGATTTACTTGTATAGAGGTTGAGTAAAGGTTTCTTCATATCGTATAACGTTTGAATACAGCTTGATGCTGTATAAATGAAATGAGTAAAGCGTTTACATTGTGAAAATTGTTAGTTGGGAAGTACCATTTTGGGACATAAACCTGCGAGCGACCTGCACCGGATGTCGCCGTCTGCTCCACTCTCCGCAGTTCCTTCAAATAGCGGTCTCTTAGGTTTTTCCACTTTTTTTAGCTTCTTCAACTGTAATTAGAAAAAAATATATGCCGGGCAATAGAAATCATTTTTATATATGATAAAACCCTCGATGAAAATTGTATATAATTAACCAGAATGATGGCATCAAAACTTACTTGAAATTTTTGTCTCATTGCTGACAGCCAACCAAAGACTATCCTTTTAAGGGAGTTTTGGTAAGACTTATCACCTTTGGTGGATAAAGCAGGATATTTTTTTACCACTCCGATAAAAAAAAAACAGTTTAACAATTCTTCTTCGGAAACATCTTCCACGAGATCCATTTTCTTTAAGTTGAAAATTTCAATGTTTTGATTCCGCAATGCCATGCCGCGCTTTTTCAAAATATTGGAAAAAAGTGCGTTTTAGTACAACGCCGCGTTTGCCGCTGCGTGCTCATTGTGGGTTGTCAAACGTATTCCCATACTTTGGAACATTGCGCATGCCGCTATGCCGCTGTCATTGTGTTCAGCCCTTAATACAGGGTTGCCACTGAACCGGGAAAACCAGGAACTAACTGGAAATCATACACAACCGAGAGAAACCGGGAATTTGATTTGAACCAACATAATAAAACAGCAAAAAAGGGTTATCTTCCATTTAATTCCACTTAAATAATTTAGGTATCCATGACAGATACGTATTTCGACTACAATGTGCAGTCTTCATCAGTGTCATTTCCACTAAAGACTTATCAAAAACCTAGCCCCCTAGGTAAAAATGTCAAGATCACAATGTGATGTGACCAAAACAAAAACAAATCATAACAGACAAGGCAAACAGGTTACAGAACAAAGACTAGACTAACTTTCTGTATTGAAAATTTTTGTTGCTGCAGGTACGGGAACTAACATATAGATCGGATCGCAGTCGATTTCTGTCTCGATCGGAACTATAGAAAAAAACTTTTAAAGATATGGACGAATTTTAAATTAAAGAAACCATTGTTGTAAGTTGAAACATTCGTAGGTATATCCAATGAATATTTCCACCAAACGACAAATCTAATCTTTTGTGAAGTAAAATATCTTTCTGCAAGTATTACGAAAAAGTGATCTTTCGCTATTTACAGCTATTCATTAAGAAGTCACAGTTCTAATCGTTTAGCACCATTCAACTACAAAAAAATTCTTGCATATTTAAGATTCCATCACTTTCTTAGAATGACACAATCACAAACAATTGAATTGATTGGCTACACTAATGGCACAGCCGCACCCTCAACCCAAACAGATATTTGCTGCGCTCCAAGGTCAATGACAGAGCCCTCGGTCCACTATAAGCACAACGTTGCATAATGATTTAGTAAATAACACAACTCTAAAGTGAAACTTGATATGCTAATTTTCCTGAAACACGACCACCTGCCGACAAATATCCCCAGGGAGCCCCGTCTTACCGTATGAATGGAATAACTGTGCGCGTAGCTTCGAACCTCATTACCGATTCCATACTCGCCCTTTGTAGGTACCCGTGGCTTCACATATCAATGAGGTTCATCAGATGTGCCCATCGCCGGTACCATCCGGGATCTGCAAGAAGTAATATGCATATAAATTGAGATCCAACTACTAAACAAGGTGCAGTTTAGCGGGAACTGTTCTCAAGAATGGATCTCCTGAAGAAAGCGTGTTTTCTGACGACAATACTGGTCGGCGTTCAAATTGTACTGGGTGAAGAAGTGGCTCGATATGACAATTACCGAGTGTATCAAGTGACTGCCAAAACCAAACAACAGTTGGATACGATGAACGAAATTCAACTCAACAGTGACGCTTACATATTCCTCGAAAATGGACATAAAGTTGGTGATAAGTTCACCGTTATTGTGCCCCCTCATAAGTTGGCTGATTTTGCAGAAACCATGGAAAATGAGAAGTTCTGTGGCCGGATAATCAATTCGAATGTGCAGCAATCCATCGACGATGAGCGGAACCGGATGCTGTCGAAACGGTTGAAAGGAGTTTTCGATTGGACGGAGTATCATAATTTGGAGGAGATTCATGGATGGTTGGACAAACTTGCATCGGACTATAAGCAGGTTGAAGTGATTCAAGGGGGGCGCTCTTACGAGGGTCGATCCATAAAAGGAGTCAAAGTATCGTACAAATCGGGAAATCCTGGAATTTTCATCGAAGGAGGAATCCATGCTCGTGAGTGGATTTCTCCAGCTACCGTTACCTACATTTTGAACGCACTGTTGACTAGTGAAGACGCCAGCGTGAGAAATATTGCAGAAAACTACGATTGGTATATTTTTCCAAGTGTGAATCCAGATGGTTATGTTTACAGTCACAATAGAAACCGTTACTGGCGCAAAACGAGGACTCCGTATCCCGGCGGCTGTTTTGGAGCAGATCCTAATCGCAACTGGGATTTCTTCTGGGCAGTGGCTGGAGCTAGTCGACGATGCTATGCAGAATCATTCGCCGGACCTAAACCATTTTCGGAAGTAGAAACGAAATCGTTATCCGAATACATCAAATCCCTGAACGGGAAAATCCAGGCCTACATCGCGTTCCACTCATACTCTCAGCTCCTTCTGTTTCCCTACGGACATACAGGTGAACACGCACCGAACCATGACGATCTGAACGAGATTGCAAATGCTACCATTACATCCCTGGCGAAGCGTTACGGAACCGTGTACCGGTATGGAAACATCTACGATGCAATTTATCCGGCTAGCGGAAGCAGCAGTGAATGGGCCTACGGAGCTCAAGGTGTCCGATTGGCCTACACGTACGAGCTGCGTCCTGCGGGTGGTTACACTGGCTTTGTGCTACCACCGGAGGAAATTATTCCGACCGGAGAGGAGACTCTTGATTCACTGGTGACTATGCTGGAGGAGTCGGGGAAGCGGAATTATTTCAAAATGTGATCAATTGACATGTGAAACAAGTAATGATGACGCAAATAAAAAATAATTTAGCATTTATCTTTTCTTGTATGTTGTTTTACGTTACTAATGTTGATGCTAGATTATAATAGGATCATTACAAAAACAGAAGAAAGATATCAAGACTTGTTGATAGCAGTTATCGAGCAAAGAAAAAGTTTTCCAAATGTAACGAAAAAAATGTTGAGCAAAAAAAAATTAAAAGCACAATTCAATTATTCATATTTGTTTGATTGAGTCAAAATTAACGAATGAAAGTTTAAAGAAAATTTGAACCCTGGCAGTTGAACCAACCGGTGGAAACTAACGATTTTAAATTGGCTCACTACTTGACTAGCCTATTGGTCCCAAGCAAATTGATTGACCTATCCCATTCTAATCGCTATGAAAGTTTGGCAGATAAAATGAGGGACTGGTGGATTTTCCTATGTTTCGAGGGGTGCATCGATTAGCTTGGGACCGCAGATAGTACAAGCAACAATCAATACGAAACTAACGATTTTAAATTGGCTCACCACTTTAGTAGCCTATTGGTCCCAAGCAAACGATTAACGTACCCTATTCTAGTTGAAATTCTATTACTTCACTATGTTTGTTTTGATTCGCTATGAAAGTTTGACAGATAACATCAGGGGTGTGTGGATTCATGCAGAACATGCAGGGGTGAGTGAAATAGCTTGGGACTGCTTGGGACCGTTGTTCTGGTACTGAGTGAGTCAAAAATAATAATGATTTTCTTCGGGACCCAGTGGTCTTAGAGTTACCTCTATGGTACAAGAGCTGAGCCAAAAAGTTGAGCACGTTTCTTCCGGACATGCTAGTCTTAGAGTTACCTCTATGGTTGAACACTCTTCTGCAAAGTCATCATTAGTGCCTATTTTCATGACTTAGTTGTATTGGAGTTGTTCAAATAGGCCGAAGGTCATTAGGCCGCATTTTGAAAAGTGAAGTAAGTTAAGTAAAGTTCTAAAAATTATTCCTGAAAAATGTTCTACAAATATTTAAATAATTAATATAACTGACAGATAATCAACGCTTTTACCATAATTTGTTATTTAAATGGTCTTATAATACCCATCCAATAATTATTTTAGGTTTTATTGTCTAAAAGCTACAAGATCATGTTGTGTTATATTGGTATTCATTTGATATTTTACAAAACATTGCGGTAACTGAATAATTTCAAAACAAGGTTTTATTCCACAAGCATTCTAAAATAAGACATCATACCAAATCGGTTAGTTAGCGGTGTCGGTGGTGTAGTGGTAAGCATGATTACCTCTCACCCCAGCAGACCTGGGTCCAATCCCAGTCGACGCCGCCGGGATGCTCAGCACGAAAAACAAGATCGACCGAAAACAAATTAAAAAAAAACGACAATGAAATAATCATAAAATACAAAACATTCTATAATCGACAACACTGTCTATTATATGGTAAATGTATTGTATTGGTCAAATGGTCATGGTGTCCATTCAACTGGGAAAACTGGAAAGTCCGGCAAAACCGGGAATTCGAATTTGCCGGGACAATGCGGGAAAACCCAAATCGCACCGGGAAAGATCATATATACTCATCCCAAGTAATACTTTTGGTTTTATCATAGTCTTGCAGGGCATAATTTGGTCTTGAAGAAACATATAAAACTTTAAACTTGCAATGTTACTTGGAATCAATCAAGGTATATCAACAATCAATACGAAACTAACGATTTTAAATTGGCTCACTACTTGACTAGCCTATTGGTCCCAAGCAAACGATTAACGTACCCCATTCTAGTAGAAATTCTACTACTACACAATGTTTGTTTTGATTCACTATTAAAGTTTGACGGATAAAATGAAGGGTTAGTGGATTTTCCTATGTTTCGAGGGGTGCATCGATTAGTTTGGGACCTCGCTTGGGACCGAAGAGAGTAACAGAGCTGAGCCAAAAAGTTGAGCACGTTATTTCGGGACCTTCTAGTCTTAGAATTACCTCTATGGTTATATCGCATGCACCATTATAATCATATGTTTACAACTTTCATATTATGTCTTTCACTGTGGTAAAGTATCAAAAATCCTCAAAATTACAACAACTCTATACTTTTCTTTCATTCGCAATCTGTTTGCGCACGGAGCAAACGACGATTTTGCCGATTTTCCAACCACGATAGCTAACAGAGTAAATTTAAGGAATTTATGTTGGTGTCATTGGAAGAAAAGTGTTTGAATTCTTTTGCTACGATTTTCCGAGTGAAGTAGTTCTAGTATAAAGCCTTAGCGAGACATATCTTGTTACGAAGCTACACCGGACACAATCAACGAACTAAAAATTATGACACTTGTAAAACATTATGTCTGTAACACATAAAGATCTGAATCCATTTTTCTCACGATAAGGTCTTGACTTCAAATCTCACCCGGATATGGCACGAATGATCCAAGATTGTGAATGTGACTATAATAAAAAAATAAATGAACTGCTGAACTCTAGAAATTTTAGAAAACTCAATAAACCAAACCAAATGTATCATGGGGCTTCACGAAGGTTTACTTATTCTATCATTAAGTCAAATCATCGTATGCCTTGTTGAATCTGCAGAACAGGGCCCCACAAAGTCACTTTCAATCGAAAACCGTCAAATGACGATGAAGCTGTCAACCATCACTTTCAATTGAAAGTCATTCTGTCTTCTCTTCGAGCAGATCCCCGTCAACATCAACAGAACCACTTTCGATCGGTTTTCATGCCGTTTGTTTTGGCTTGACTCGTGTTCATTTCTTCTTTCATTGTCAAATGAACTTACTTTTGCATTGAAATGAAGCTGTTCGATCCAAATTCGCGCAGTTTTTATGACTTTTTTTGATTGTTCAATCGGTTCATTTAAGCGTGTGCACATAGATCTGTGCTCGTGGTTGCAAAATTTGTTATTGTTGGGTGGTTTGTTTACCCATCAATATGGGTATTTTTTAAATCGGGGTGACGTCTAGAAATTGAAAATTGATATGCGATGCAATTTACAATACAAGATGGCGGCTTCCAGTTTAAGAAAAAGTGGGAAAGGCTGTCAAATGCTTATCAATAAAGGTATTTTTGGAACCGGGATGATTTCTAGAGGATGAAAATCGATATCCAGCCATTTTGAAATCGTAGATGGCAGCTTCCGATTTACGAAAAAGTGGAAATACATTCAAATACACATCAATATTGGTATATTTGTAATCGGTATGAAGTCTACAAATCGAAAATTGATATGCGACGCCAATTCGAAATCTAAGATGGGAAATATTGCCAAATACCCATCAATATAGGTATTTTTGGAATCGTGATGGTGTCTAGAGGCCGGAAATCGATATCCGACGCCATTTTTAAATCCAATTGGCGGCTTCCTATTTAAGAAAAAAAAATTGGAAATTCTGATGCTGTCCCAATAATATGGGTATTTTTGGAATCGGGGTGACGTCTGGAGATTGTAAATCAATATCCAACGCTATTTTGAAATCCATGTTGGCGGCTCCCGGTTTAAGAAAAAGTTGTAAATTCTATCAAATACCCATATAAACGGTTTTTTTTTAAGAAACAGGGTAACGTCTAGAAGCCGGGAATCGATATCCAACGCCGAAAATTGATGTCACTTTAAATCCAAGATGGCGGCTTTGGTTCAGAAAAACTGTGAAATACTGTCCAATACCGATCAATGGGTTTTTCGGAATCGGGCTAACATCTAGAAGCCACAAATAGATGTGTGACGCCATCTTGAAATTCAAGATGGTAGCTTCCAATTTCATAAGAAGTGCCAAATAGCCTACAAATGGCATCATAAATCGATTTTCCGATTTCCGAAAATACCCAAATTGTAGGGTATTTGACACTTTCTGAACCCTGATGGCCACCATATTGGATTCCAAAGTGGAATCTGATATCGATTTTCAGCATCTACGCGTTGTCCCTGTTCTGAAAATAACCATATTTTAGGGGATTTGACACCTTTTCTGACACCCTATGGCCGTCATATTAGAGTCCAATATAGCATCGAATATCGATTTTCGGCAGCCACGCGTTGTCTCCGTGCCAAAAATATCCATATCTTAGGGTATTTGACACGTTTTAGGAAACTTGATGGCCACCATCTTGGATTCCAAAATGGCGTCGAATATCGATTTTCGGCATCTACGCGTCGTCTCTGTTCCAAAAATACCCATATTGTAGAATATTTGACACTTTCTGAATCCTGATGGCCGCCATATTGGATTCCAACATATTGTCGGATATCGATTTTTGCCATCTACGCGGCATCCCCGATCCGAAAATACCCTAATTAATACCCTTTTCTGAAACCCGATGACAGCCATTTTGGATTCCAAAATAACGTCGAATATCGATTTTCCGCACCTTCGTGTCGTCCTCGTTCCGAATATACCCATATTGTGGGGTATTTGAGACTTTCCCTGACCCCGATGGCCGCCATCTTGGACTCCAGAATGGCCTAGTTAATTTAACTTTCGTTTAATATTAAATAATTTATTATTACTACATATAATCCGGATGCCATCCCTATCGGCAACCGATATTGTTCGGATACTATATGTTGATGCCTGCGTCGTCAGGTCGTGACAAGTCGAATGAGCCCCGAATTGCAGTGAAAGTGGAAAAAACGAAGGAAGCAGTTTTCGAGTCATTCATTGCGTCAATTGAAACAAGTCTTTGCTTCAGATGAAATGAACTGAAGCATTCGACGAACGAAACAAGTGATTGTCCAGTCACGTTTGAAAAGAGGAATGTTCATTGTGACTCGATAACAAGAAACACGATGACTTACACGAAAATGATATTGCTCGAAATGAAGCGATTCTGCGGAGAGTTCATTTCCTTATCTTTGTATCGAAAATGCAGAACCCTGCTGCAGAACTTCAAGATAAAATATTCGGGATGATTTGGATAGACCAAAACAACACAAAATGCTCAAAAATTCTGAGTGGACATCGATCAAGATTTCA